CTTTGGCGAGAATGTCAGGACCAAAATGCTTTCCATCAAGGAGACTGTTGAGGCGGAAGGTCCAGCCGTAAGATCTGTGTGGTGCGGTAGAGTGAGAGCCCTTGCTGGTCCTTGTGCCGTCCGTGACGCACGTGCAGATTGCCAGGAGTCGGGGTGCCCGCGTGTCAGTGGGCCTTGGGGGTGCAGTCAACATGTGGCGGAGGCAGGGAGAACTTATCCATACCTTTTCGCATTAGCCCTTTCCCACCGTAAATCTCTGTGGCCAGCAGATAGTACAGGTTTTCTTTAATGATTATTTATTTTTGAGAGAGAGAGTGTGAGCAGGGGAGGGGCAGAGAGAGAGGGAGACACAGAATCTGAAGCAGCTCCAGGCTCTGAGATGTCTGCACAGAGCCCTTGAGAGAGAGAGGGAGAGAGAGAGAGACACACACAGCGTTGAGCAGGGGAGGGTCAGAGAGAGAGGGAGACGCAGAATCTGAAACAGGCCCCAGGCTCTGAGCTGTCAGCACAGAGCCCAACGCGGGGCTCGAACCCATGAGCTGTGAGATCATGACCTGAGCTGAAGTTGGATGTTTAACTGACTGAGCCACCCAGCCGCCCCACAGACAGTACGGTTTTGGTAGAAGTTAAGATTATAGTAGTGTTTCCCTTAACATTTGGAGGGACAGGAAAAATTTAACATTGACTATCATAGGCTTGAAATACTTTCACTAGTTTCAGTCCTCAGGTCTCCCTGATGACACTTAAACAAACACACGACAGATGGTCGTTAATCATGGTACTTCATAGTGGGTGTAACGTCTCCAGTAGCAAGCAGAGTCCAGAAAATGTTTCCCATTTCTGAATCTACAAATAGCTAACAAATTGGAACCCATAAAATGATAACAAAAAGAGGGATAACCCTGTCACTGAAAATCACTTTTTAAAATCTGTCTTTGATTTTACCTGGAGCTCACACCTCATCTTAACGAATGGAGTCCTGTTTCCCGTTGTATATTTATGTTGCTCTGTTATTACAGTCAGCAAGTCTGCACTGGAGATATTTTGGTAAGAGCAGGAAATGGGGAACAGATTCCAGACATAAAGGGAGGATTGGGCGTTCTTGATTTTCAGAGCAATTCTAGAGACAGAAAGATAGGAGGGAAGACAGGTAGCAGACAGTCCTTCTCTGTTTCCGAAATATTCTTACGGTCTGTAAAATCTAAGTGTTATATTTAGCTAGAAAAATAGGAATTCCTTGCTAATGGACTCAGAGAAGAATGGAGCACGTTAAGGTCCTCCCCTGTCCAAGTAGGTCATTTAGAATGGTCCGCTTTTCCTCTCTGTAGTCAGAGTGCCTGTTTCCTTGGCACCTCGCCTCTGCTGACATTGTTAGTTTCAGTCTCTTGGTGATTTGTGTTGGCTGTCGTTCTTCCAGCCCTTTTCGTGTCTGTGACAGAGATCAGGTCAGTTGCCGGCAGGTGGAAAGTTGCCGGCAGGTGGAAACTGGGGTATTTGCTCCTTTGAGGTCAGCAAACATCGGAGCCTGGACAGACCGAGCCCTTGGGCTCCACCTGCTGGTGGCTGGCATCACAGCAGCCACGCTGTCGAGGTCTAAATCACATCCAGCCGGGGACGCCTGTTTCAATTACTCGGGAAAGGCAAGGTGATAACGTATTGCCAGGTATATCTTGGAAAGTAAGATCTGATACGATCAAATTGATAGCTATTCAGAGCACTTGAGATAAATCAGGGACTCCTCATTAACATTCTTTTTTTTGTATGGAGAGAGTGAGGTTATTTTTGGCAACACCATTAATACTTCACAGAAATATATTCTCTTCTGCACATATATCCGTTCAGTTGAGAGTAAAATCCAGTCACTAATGGTATGTGCTTGGCGCATGTATGTATGGAAAGATTTGTGCATAATCATTTGGAGGAGTAGCCTGTTAGACAACATAATGGTTGTGTTTTGATCTGTAACTGTGTGTGTGTGTGTGTGTGTGTGTGTGTGTGTGGTATATACTGCTCTGTTTGCCCATACCATCTGCGTAATATACAGTCCATCTGGTTTGATGCCATTGAAAACCAGGGAGATATTCACTCCATAGGTGTGATTTTTCAGGCAGATGGAAAGCATAAGTAACTCAGAATTATGATAACACAACACGCTTTCTACATTTGAGCCTGAAAGTCACTGTATGCACACTGGCTTTATACATAGTTTCTGATGTGGAAGAAACTTTGCTAGGCAGTCCTTAGGATCCTAGAGAAAGCCTGTTGATTTCTTCAACAGTAAAGCTATGAATAATTGTTCATTGTCCTTCTTGGAATGAAGGTACCCTGCTGATTTATGTTCTGATTATTACCCCCTTGACAACAGCAATGATACATCCATCCAAAAAACGTGTTCATTTAAAACAAAAAAAAAATGCAATTTTCTCACATTTTTAAACAAGCTTTCTATTTAGGGGAATTTTCAGTCACTCACCAGAATCTGAATCCCCACTTCAGTCATTGTTAGCCTTTAAATAAATGTGTTGCAACTCATATAAAGGATTACTTTCCTGAACCCAGTACCTTAAAGATGGGGCCAGAAAAAAAATGGTACATCAGGGTTCATGACTACATGTTGGATCGTTGCACACTTTGTGTGGAGCCAAGTTCCTATAAGAGAGGCAAGTAAATTTCTAAGAATATGAGTAATACTTGGCCATATAGCAAATAGTATAGCTGTTAGCACTGTGTTTCATCCCTAAAGTACAATGTTACGTTGTAAAAAGATGTATTCTGTGTCAGATTAGTTTTCTTTAATCTGTTTCATATAAATTGGAGTCAGAAGAAGGTTTTTGAGGTTTTTTTTTTTTTTTTTTTTTTAATGTGTTGCTCTGGGGACGCCTGGGTGGCTCACTCGGTTGAGCATCTGACTTCGGCTCAGGTCATCATCTCACAGTGTGGGTTCAAGCCCCACTTTGGGCTCTGTGCTAACAGCTCGGAGCCCGGAGCCTGCTTCGGATTCTGTGTGTGTCTCTCTCTGCCCCTTCCCTGCTCATGCTCTCTCTCTCAAAAATGAATAAACCTTAAAAAATTTTATTTTTAAATGTGCTGCTCTGACCTTAGGTCTGTGGCTTACATTCTCCACCTCCTGCTTCTGATGTCCGCTCTGCAGATACTGCCCATTTCCTCTTCTGGGCGTGACAGTGAATATCAGCAGCACTGGAACTTTCCTAACCTAACAGGACAAGCTGGGTAGAATTTATTCGATAAAGAAGAGGAACCGCTAGCGCTAATCACATCAAAAAGCAAGATCACTTTTTGAAACATGTGTGCTGGGCATATTACATAAGATCAATCGAACATTCTTCTTCCTCAGTCTTTTCTGATTTGAGCTTTGCAAGTCAGGCCTGCCAAACTGATGTTAGCATCTTCCGTGTGCTCACTAACCAATCTGCTCAAAAATAAAACTTCTGATTGCATTTTATTTAATTTTTGCAAGTTTTACATACTACCCAAAGCTCTTCTTTTGACTATGCCCAATCTTAAAAATAACTTTTTTAACCTTTATTTAATTTTGAGAGAGAGACAGAATGTGAGCAGGGGAGGAGCAGAGAGGGAGACACAGAATCCGAAGCAGGCTCCGGATTCTCTGTGCTGTCAGCACAGAGCCTGAGGAGGGGCTCAAACTCACGAACCGTGAGATCATGACCTGAGCTGAACCCCAAAATAAATTTTCACTTCTTTTCTAGTTGACGTTTCCTATTCAAGGACCTAAAATTTGATTTGATTTTTTATTATAATGCATATTTCATTTTTTAAAAAATTTTTAATGTTTTATTTATTTCTGAGAGAGAGAGAGAGACAGCCTGAGCAGGGGAGGGTCAGAGAGAGAGGGAGATACAGAACCTGAAGCAGGTTCCAGGCTCTGAGCTGGCGGTCAGCACAGAGCCCGACACAGGGCTTGAAACCACGAACCGCGAGATCATGACCTGAGGCGAAGTCAGATGCTTAACCGACTGAGCCACCCAGATGCCCCTATAATGCATATTTCATAACAAAAATTATTTTCCCTTCATTTTCAAGAAGTCTCCTTGAGAAAACTCCCCAGTATATATATCTTTTCACGAATGAATTTTAGCTTCTGGGACCTTCCCCATGAAGAATTTTTTTAAGCATTTTTATTTGTTTTTGAGAGACAGAGCATGAGCAGGGGAGGAGCAGAGAGAGAGGGAGAGACAGAATCTGAAACAGGCTCCAGGCTCTGAGCTGTCAGCACAGAGCCCGACGCGGGGCTCGAACCCACGAACCATGAGATCGTGACCTGAGCCGAAGTCGGCTGCTTCACTGACCGGGCCACCCAGGCGCCCTCCCTCCCCCCATAAAGGTTTTAGAGTTTACCTGACGTGCGGTTTTTCGAAGCTCTGACTTTGCACGGTGAGGATGCTTTTCTTAACATGGCTTTCTTCCACGACCCAGGTTTTGGGGCGAGTCCCCTTCCATTTTATGACTCGGACTCCTTCTGGGGCTTTGTCACCATCCGCTTTCAGGCAACACAAACAGAATAGCTTGGGACGGGGACCATCCACCCTTAAAAGCCCTGTCTCAGGAACGGCATTTGTCGCGTCCATTCACCTTCCATGTGCCGTAACGAAGTGCCACAGAAGCTGAGGAGTGCAGCGTCGTCGGGGTCTCAGGAACAAGAGTCATCATTTTCCGTGTTTTTTTTTAAATGCAAGTGTAGCTTCACACAAGGCTACGTCGGTTTCACGCGTACCGCGCGGTGACCGGCCGGGCCGCACAGCCCACGCCGCTCGCCCCCGCGCGCCCGCCGTCGGCGCCCACAGCGCGCGCGCCCTCCGTCCCCGCGGAGGCCGCCGCCGCCGCGCCCGGCCCGGCTTCCGTCCTCGCGGAGCTTCGGCCTCTGACGAGCCTCCGCGGAGGCGGCGCGAGCGCAAGCGCCGGGCGTGAGCCTGGCCGCGTCCGCGGACGTACAGACGCGCTGTCGGGTTCCCGCTTCGCAGGTCCTGCCCGGGACGGAGGCTGACGCGACCGCCGGAGCCTCGGCTGCCGCTGCCGCTGCCGAGGAGGCCCCCGCGGGGGAGGCGGCTCTTCCCGCCGGGGAAGGAGCAGGTGTAGACGCCGAAACCGCACAGGCCGTGGGGAGCGACGGATCTCAGCCGGAGGAGTCAGAAGCAGCCGCGCCTCAGGTGCGGGTCCCGGTGAAATGGACGTTGGGGGGCGGGGGGGGGGGGGCGCCAGTCGAGCTGCTGTTTCCTGGTGGGTCGGGATCACCCCTTCGGGTGCCGGGTAGGCCTGTGGCCATCTCGTGGTGCCTCGCTGCACAGAACGGAATTGTATCTACAGTGATATATCATCTACATAATTATATACTTTTATACCTTTTATTTTTTTTTATTTTTTTAATGTTTTTTTTTATTTATTTCTAGGAGAGAGAGAGAGACAGCGTCAGCAGGGGAGGGTCAGGGAGAGAGGGAGTCACAGACTGAAACAGGCTCCAGGCTCTGAGCTGGCAGTCAGCACAGAGCCTGACGCGGGGCTCGAACCCACGAACCGCGAGATCGTGACCTAAGCGAAAGTCGGACGCTTAACCGACTAAGCCACCCAGGCGCCCCAGTTTTATACCTTTTAAATTTAGTTTATTTTATTTATCGTTATTTCTTGTACACTTATGTGTGGAAGCCTCTCGGAAAGCATGGGCCTGGCATTCCCCTGATGTCGGCGTTGTGAGACTCGCACAGGCCCCGGTGATGGAGAAAAAGGATGAAAGATGATGAAAAAGTGAGGTGGAGGGAGGAGGGAGAGAATGTGCCAGAACAGTGGGGCTGTGGCATGGATTACGTGAGGAAATAGCTGTGCGGGGAGCGCTTAGCCCAGTGCCAGGCACCCGAGGAGAACCCAACATCGGTCGTTAAATCGTATCATTATTAGGGGTGTGTAGAGACTGTTTTTATGATCAGGGTGCCCGCAAATCCAGCATCCAGACGTGAACTTGCCCGATTAGCCCCAGGTCTTCGCCGCTTCGGAGAAGTGTGCAAGGTCGAAAATCCACATGTGCTGTGATGTGGGGCTCACAGCGAGGGCAGGCCTTCCCAGCCCCGCATCTGGTTCTTCTCGACGCCAGGAGGGAACACTGGAAAGTGGGCTCTTCGTGTTCTGCTTCCCTTTGTCCTGATTAGCTTGCCCCGGAGAACCCTCCAGGGTTGCTCAAAGCTTGAAACTAAATGACCCTTTGATCCCACGAGAAAAACAGGAAGTATTGGTACCTGGAGAAGAACCTCAAAAATGTGTTCCATTTGTTCGCGAAGGCTTCTTGTCACAACGCCAGGAGCGTTTTGTAGTCTATTGTTACCCTCGTTGGAAGCGTGGATTGTCTCCTCCAGATGGGAGAATGGAAGTGCCCACGGGGTCTGAGGGAACACAGAACTTGACGGGAAAGGCAGGAAACATTATGCCCGTGAAATTCCTCTTCTTGCTCACCTTTGGTACCAATGCCGCGGAAATCTTGGTGCTCTGGTGCTCGTCACCGCTGCCCCCCGGAGCGGAGCGTCCTCGGAGTCGCGGGTGGGACTCGGCGCCCCGCCGCCGTCACTGCAGTGTGGGCTCTGATGACAGTCCACAGGCGAAGCAGAGGCAGGTTTTCTCCAAACACAGGCCGGATCCGGGCCCGCAACGTGGCTGCAGGCTGTTCAGGAGTCCCGCGGACCCTGCGAAAGAGGCGTCACGGGGGTGAACGTGGGCGCCAGCGTTGGGGGGCGCGTGTTGGGGGGCCTGCGGCCCTCGGTTTAGGTTCTGGTCACGACCGCACAGCTAGTGGTTGTGAGCCCCGCACCGGGCTCCACGCCGACAGTGCGGACCCTGCTGGGAAGTCTCATGCCCTGCGTCTCTGGCCCTCCTCCCGCTCTCAGATTAGATAAATAAACTACCCCCCCCAACACCAGTGTTAGTGTTCAGTGGGGTGAGAGTGGACCCTGGCGAAAATGAGGCCATTCCTGGAACCCTACTAATACCCTTTCAGGATCGTCTCCCCCACCCCAACACGACCCCCTCCCTCCCTCTTCCCAGTTTCCACAGACCCCCCCCCCCCAGCAAGCTGCCTGACTGCTCAGGGGTCCAGAAATCCGTCCCGCCAAGGCCGTGCGCCTCAGGGGAGACGGAAGGGAGGCCGTGTCGGGAGGAAGGGCGTGCACGGTGTGCGCCGGCTGTGGGCCGGGTGTGCGCCGGCTGTGCGCGGGTGTGGGCCGGGTGTGCGCCGGGTGTGCGCGGGTGTGCGCCGGGTGCGGGCCGGTGTGCGCCGGGTGCGGGCCGGTGTGCGCCTGTGTGCGCCGGCTGCGGGCCGGTGAGGGCCGGGTGTGCGCCGGCTGTGCGCGGGTGTGGGCCGGGTGTGCGCCGGGTGTGCGCGGGTGTGCGCCGGGTGCGGGCCGGTGTGCGCCGGGTGCGGGCCGGTGTGCGCCTGTGTGCGCCGGCTGCGGGCCGGTGAGGGCCGGGTGTGCGCCGGCTGTGCGCGGGTGTGGGCCGGGTGTGCGCCGGGTGTGGGCCGGGTGTGCGCGGGTGTGCGCCGGGTGCGGGCCGGGTGTGCGCCGGGTGCGGGCCGGTGTGCGCCGGTGTGCTCCGGGAGTGGGCCGGTGTGCGCCTGTGTGCGCCGGCTGCGGGCCGGTGAGGGCCGGGTGTGGGCCCGTGTGCGCCGGTGTGCTCCGGGAGTGGGCCGGTGTGCGCTGGGTGTGCGCGGGTGTGGGCCGGGTGTGCGCCGGGTGCGCGCCGGGAGTGGGCCGGGTGTGCGCCGGTGTGCGCCGGTGTGCGGAGCGGCGGGCACTGGGTGAGCCGAGGAGGTGGGGAACGTGGGAGCCGCGGGGCGCGCCCGCACGGAGGCAGCGCGCAGCGGCCCCCGCCCCCGCTCGGCCGAGCGCCTCTCTTCCCGCAGGACAAGGCCATCCCGTCGGTCGTCATAGAGCCCGCCTCCAACCACGAAGGGGAGGAACGCGAAGCGGCCGACGTGGCGGAGCCCGCGGGGACCCCCAGCGCCGCCGGCGAGCCGCCCGAGGCCCCGCAGCCCGAGCCCTCCGCTCCACCGAGCCCGGCGCCTCAGGAAGCGCCCCCCGGCTTCCTCTACAAGGTCTGCTGGCCGCTGGTCCTTCCTCTGCTTTGAGGCCCTTTTGCTGGAAAGTTCGATTTCCAGATGTTGCCTTTTGCCTTTGGCAAGATGTATTCTTTGCTTGTACTGGTGGGAAGAAAGGCCCAAATGAACGAGAGAAGGGTTTTCAGTGACACCATCCGATGGCTGCGGAGAGCCTTCGTAAAGGGAAGGCCTTACCCCAAACCTGTCTGCGGTAAACACCGGGAAACGCTGGCTTACGCCGACGGCTAAAGGCACTTACCCTTAATAGGATATAGGTGGGAATTTTCAGTTCCCTAATACGATTTACGTTTCAAAATGCAGCTCTTTTTCTTTCACAAATGGTAAATTTCATTTATTTTTATTACTATTTTTTAATGTTTTATTTATTTCTGAGACAGAGAGAGACAGCGTGAGCAGGGGAGGGTCAGAGAGAGAGGGAGTCACAGAATCCGAAGCAGCTCCAGGCTCTGAGCTGTCAGCACAGGGCCCAACGCGGGGCATGAACTCACGAACTGTGAGATCATCATCTTAGCTGAAGCCACTTAACCGACTGAGCCACCCAGATGCCCCTATATTTCAGTTTAAAAAAAAAAGAAAAAAGAAATTGGTTGGCATGGTTTCAAAGGTAAGATAGGGAAGGAAGTTTATACAGGAATTGATCACTGGGTTTAGTTAAATAGTAATTCCCATATAACATGGGAAGTGATCTTTCCAATCCCTAATTACATGACAGAAGTGGGGTTAGAGTCACTTCCCACCAGGCATTTTTAGTTCAAGTTTAAAAACAAACCATAATAAACATTAGTGATAGTAAAATGTAAATCTCTAACAAAAAATGACGAATTGAAATTTAACAAAAGCACTACATTTCAATTCTTGAAGAAGGTATTGTGTTATTAAACGTACATCCAAATTGCTTCAATATCCGTCTTCAAGAATTGGTTGTTTTAAGTAAACAGGACTCCTTTCTCTGTTTAGAGGTCTTCTTCCTTGAAGTATGTTAGGATCATTGTCTTTGTTATCCAGCTTGGAGAGGCTTCTACAAGTACGCTGGTAATCTGGCCAGGAGACTTCAATGTTACACTCCCTTTCTTTTTAAAATTAGTGAATTCGGGGCACCTGGGTGGCTAAGTCAGTTAAGCATCTGACTTCGGCTCAGGTTATGATCTCATGGTTTGTGGGTTCGAGCCCCACTTCGGGCTCTGTGCTGACAGCTCAGAGCCTGGAGCTGCTTCAGATTCTGGGTCTCCCTCTCTCTCTGCCCCTGTCCCGCTCATGTTCTGTCTGTCTCTTAAAAATAAACAAACATTTAAAAAAATTAATAAAATAAAATTAGTAAATTCTTTTAAAATCTTTTGCAGGTGGAAACACTGCACGATTTTGAGGCAGCAAATTCTGACGAACTTACCTTACAAAGAGGTGACGTTGTTTTGGTGGTGCCCTCAGATTCAGAAGCTGACCAGGTAAAGAGTGAAATTGAAAGGTCCTACAGGCTATGTTGGGTTTTTTTTCTGAGGGTCTGATGGACACAGTGACTTCCTGAAGACATTTCTATTTTCTGAGGTGCTGCAGGGCAGCTTAGGAAAGAGCCTAGGGCTTATCAGTGCAGGACATGGCTAATGAAAGCTTTTTAGGACACCTCTTTGGGAGGCTGCCATATTGTTTCCTTTTGATACAAATAGATGACCATTTCTTATTTTGCATCCACTGTGTAGGGATGTTGTCTCTGAAAAACCAGTCTTGAGGAAATATGGCCCCTGTCCACATGCACTAAAAATCTTCAATGTCCACACCCTTGGGGGGTGTGGAGATTGGCCAGGAGAGAACATGGGGAAATTTCTGGGGATGGAAATGTTTTCTATCTGAATAGGGGTGTGGATTACATGTGTATATGCATTTGTCAAAATTATACTGTACATTTAAGTGATGTTTGCGTTACCTAGTATTTAAATTATACCTCAATTTTAAAAGGCTCTTTAAAAAAGTCGCCCTTGAGCATAGTGGTCTGATGTGAAGGTGCCAAGAATTCCATTTTGTTCTTAATCATGGGATTTGTGAACCCCTAAATAGTATGCAAAATGTATAAATGTGCCTATTAACATGTTCTTCTGGAGAGAAGAGCTTTAATTTCCATAATCTTCTCAAGGAGGTTTCCAAACCCTTTCTCCCCAAAATAAAGTTACTACCTTAGAGGTTAAGACTTCCCAAGCCCCCCATTTTGTCCTTTCTCTTGATAATACACTTACCAAGGTAGAGCAGGTGGTGGGTCAAAGTCTCAACCACAGTAAAATTGAATTAGATATGAATAATAACAATACAGCTTTAAAAGCTCTAAATATTAAAAATATACTTCTGAATAATCCATGGACCACCTAAATCATAGTGTAAATTAGAAAAATATTTCCTAGTTTACCATCAGTTTCTAAGTTTTTAGCCCAAGAAGATACAAAAGATCAAATTAAGTACATAGCACACAGAAGGACAGAAATAAAATAGTTCATAGTTGAATGCAATAAAAAGACACACAATGGAGAAAACTAATAAATCCAAAAGTTAGTTCTTTGAAAGGATCCACAAAATGGTTAAAAGCTCAGAAACACTCTTCAAGGCAAAATGTTGCAAAGCATTAATTGCTATCAGGCAAAAGTGTCTACGTGTCTCAAAATTGTTAAAAACCCTATTATGTAAGCGAATTTTTTTTTTTTGCATTAACCATAAGTTGTCTTTTAAAGAGATTAAGAGGAAAAAGCTAATCTTACGTCTACCAACATGTTCACCATTTTCTCTGCTCTTTCTGGTTCTTCTCATAGATCTGAGTTTCCATCTGGTCTCACTTTTCTGCCTGAAAAGTTTTCTTTTCTTTTTCTCTTCTTTCTTTTCTTTTCTTTTTTCTTTTTTTTTTTTTTTTTACTATTCTTTCTCAGAGCACTCTTTCTTTTCCTTTCTTCTTTTAAAAAGAGATTTAATGTTTAAGTAATCTCTACATCCGACCGGGGGTTCAAACTCACAACCCGAGGTTCCAGAGTCACATGCTCCACTGACTGAGCCAGCCAGGTGCCCTTGCCTGAAAAGTTTCCTTAACCAGTTCCTACGATGCTAATCTGCTTGTCTGAAATACTCTCAGCTTCTGCTTATCTGAAAATGTCTTTCTTCATCTTCATTTTTAAAGATATTTTCCCAAGAGAAAGAATTCCCAGTTGACTTTTTTCTTTCAACTCTTTAAAGATCCTGCTCTGTTGTTTCCTGTTTTCTGCTGTTTATGGCTAGAAATCAGCTACCATTTCTTTTACCTTGTTTCTGGGTATACACTGCGGCTTTTTCCGTGACTGCTTTTAAGAATTTCTCTGTATCTTTGGTTTTCATCAGTTCAATATAATGTGCTTAGGTCTTGGGTGTTTTGTTTGTTTTTGTTTGTTTGTTTTGTAGTTTTCATGCTTGGGATTCACTGAGCTGCTTAGATATGTAACCTGATGTTTTCCATTACATTCGGAAGACTTACAGCTACTATTTCTTAAATTCTTCTCTTGCCTCATTCTTTTTCTCCTCTTTTTCGGAGTCCCTAATTATACATCTGTTGGACTTCTTGATGTCTAAGACTGTTCTCTTTTGTTCTGTGTGTAATTCTCTCTGGTGCTCAGGTTGGATAATTTCTATTGATTTGTCTTCAAGTACAATGACCCTTTCTTCTGCTACTTTGAATTTGTTGTTAAGCTTATCCAGTGACTTTTTCATTTCAGATGCTGTACTTGACACAGTTCTGAAATGTTCGTGTTGGTTTTGTATTTAGTTGCCATTGCTTTCCTGAGATTTCTCCTCTATTCTTTCATTATTGCTATCTTTCAATGTAAGCATATGCATGTATTTATAATAGCCCTGTTAATTTCTTACTGCTAATTCCAAAAGCTAGGCCATCCCAGGACACACTTATATTGATTACCTTTTATCTTCAGAGGATATCTTCCTCTTTTTTCTCATATCTAGTGATTTTTTAAAATTTCTTTTTAACATTTATTTTTGAGAGAGAGAGTCAAAGAGAGAGCACGAACAGAGGAGGAGCAGAGAGAGAGAGGGAGACACAGAATCTGAAGCAGGCTCCAGGTTCTGAGCTGTCAGCACAGAGTTTAATGCGGGGTTCGATCTCAAGAACCATGAGATCATGATGTGAGCCGAAGTCGGATGCTTAATCAACTGAGCCACCCAGGTGCCCTCCAGTAACTTTTTTTTTGTTTCTTGACACTGGACACATTGTAGAGCCGGGATTCTGTTTTCTGTCTCTGAAGCTTGTTTCTTTTGCCTCTAGCAGACGTGGAGGTAACTGGATAATTCGCTTAAATTTGTGGAAGTTTGTCTTATAACTTGTTAGGGTGGGTCCATTTCAATTTTGCCTTTACTTTGAGGATGAACTCTTAGTCCTGAAACATCATTTACTTGCGAGAATGGCCCTTCTGAAATTTCAGTAGAAAGCCTCAAGGACGGCCCAAGCCTCCAAACTCTAAACTCTGTCTCCCCATGAACAGCGCTGAAACTTTGCTTCAGCTTTTTTGCCTCTCTGTGTTGCTTTCTCCTTGGGGGGACCCCTTGTATATTCACAGCTTGTGGGGCAGCTCAGGATTTCAGGGAAGTTTCTCTGCATGCTTGAGAGCCCACCTCTGTTGATCTCTTCTTTTCAAGATACTCCCCATAATAATGCACCTGATCCGTGGGGGCGGGAATGGAATGCTGTATCTGTACAAATCACACCCAGTGCAATTAACTTCTTTCAAGGGTTAAATAGTCTCCGATTTTTGCCTGCTTTTGGTCACTGTCAGTGCCTTCACCCCCATTATTTGTAACAATCCCATTATGTAAACTTTTCTGTTACATATTTTCTAAGTTATTTCTATATGCAAATAGTTGCATATGTGTATACATATGTATAAGTAGATATGTATAAATACATAGTTATTCTAGTGGCTATAATTGTTCTGTGTAGAAGCACCTCTCTGAAGCAAGCTATTTGGCCATTACCAAAACTGTATGTCTTATCTGCCACATATTTTAAGCATTTAAGATTTAATTTTCCCTATTTGCCTCAGCTCAAGATTGATCTTGGCTAATATTTTCCACTTTACTATATAAATCGTGTTTCAGAATATACATGTGGGAATATATCTTGATGATGAGTTTGTACTAGTCCTGAACTTGAACTTTTTTTCTTTATTGAAACAATTTTAAAATACGTGACTCTACTTGGCTCCATTAGGTTTTTTCACTCATTGTAAATAAAGTCAAATATAGACACTCACGGGGGAAATATGGCCCTTTAGATGCTTCTCAGAGGTTTAGAAAAAAATTAGTTACCATCTTTTACTTTAAGTATAACTTTGCCCTTCACATACATAACATAATTTTCAAGAGGACACTTCTCTTCCGAGCCAGGATATTATCGGGTATTTTATTGAGTCCTCTTTTCCTTGTTGTTTTTTTTTTCCGCCTTCAAAAATTGGCCTGTCTAAATGCTTATATTGCATGTCTATATAACAGCATCAATTTATAGCTTCAGATTACATCAAGAGAGAATGTATTCAGCCTCTTTATTTAATTTTTGAAGCCTCATTTTATCTGATGTACTTGAACTATATTGGGAATTGCTTCAGATTAAATCTGCCCATCTTTCATCCTAACTGGGATCTCTTTCGCGTATTTGTTAACATAATCAAGACAAATCATTTCCCGCTAGTTTTGCATTATACAGTCTGTAGGTTTCACGCCGTTCCTTCCACTCAGCCTTTTCCAACCAGGCTCTGCTTATCTGCCATAGGCCAAGGGCACATAGCAGCCTTCGTTCTCAGTCCCACCTGTGATCTCCCGAGCTGAACAGCCACACACAGGGGCTCCCTCCACCTTCCTGTGGCTAACAGTCTTCATGTTTATGATGGTATAACTATATGCTCATATGGTATAACTATATGCTTATAACGATATGCTTATATGGTATAACTATATGCTTATATGCTGTAAGAGAGACAAATGTTTATAAGGAATACTCTACAAAGAACATGGGAATGTTCCCAACAAGAATGTCGTGACAATGACCTGCTTTGTAGTTCATATAAACTTGAAAAATGAGATACTGTCACAGCAACAACAAACACAACAGCAGTATCAGGTAACACCTGTCGGGCAGTTAGTTGAGAAACCTTGTATGTGGTGGTTTATTTGGGTCACATGATGTGAACTGGAGCACAGAGTTCTTTCTCGAGGCACGCGGTTCAGGATGAAATACTAGACCTTCCATGGCCTCACCAGCACGATATCCTGACCTGGGTCCTTAAGTCATCTCTTCCCTGTGACCCACAGGATAATGTTCTGTGCATGACGCATCTGTACATGGTGTTTTCCTTTTGATACTGGCTATCGTTCTAATCCTTTTCTCTTCCTTAAGAACTCCTGTCCTAATCCAGTTAACATCAATGAACTACATACAAAATTGTTCTATTTGTATTACTTTACAGTTAGCTCTACTAGATCCAGAAAGTAAATAATTTTAAATGTTTACTGTTATTTTTTCTTAGTTTCTTTATTTTGAGAGAGAGTGAGAGTGAGTGGGAGGTGGTTAGAGAGAGAGGGAGAGAGACAGAATCAGGTGCAGTCTCTGAGCACTGTTAGTGTGGACCCTGAGGTGGGGCTTGATCTCATGAACTGTGAGATCATGACCTGAGCCAAAATCAAGAGTCTACCGCCCAACCGACTGAGGCACTCTAGCATAGTAACTTATTGTTATTTGTTTATCTGACAACTGATTTGAGACGAGCCTTCCCACTGCTCACAGACACTGGTTTATGTATAATGTAACATCCTGGTGCAGTATCACAACACTAAATTATTTTGGGGTCACCTGGGTGGCTCAGTCTGTTAAAGCATCTGACTCTTGATCGCAGCTCAAGTCATGATCTCATGGTTTGTGAGTTCAGGTCCCACATCAGGCTCTGCACTGACAGCCCGTAGCCTGCTTAGGATTCTTTCTCTCTCTCTCTCTCTCTGTCTCTCAGCCCTTCCTCACTTGTGCTCCCTCTCTCTCAGAATAAATAAATAAGATAGACATGTAAATTATTTTGTTAATTCTTGGCAGTACAGATTTTTCCAGTGGTGCGTTGGATCTTGAAAGCCCTGTCTTTGTCTTGCAGGATGCAGGCTGGCTGGTAGGAGTGAAGGAATCAGACTGGCTTCAGTATAGAGACCTTGCCACTTACAAAGGCCTCTTTCCAGAGAACTTCACCCGGCGCCTGGATTAGAGCCAAACATATGGTAGAAAGAGCCTGATTATTGGGTTTTTAAACCCCCAGGAAAACCCGAAGAGTTCACTTTTGCTATTACACTCTTAATGATTTACAGGCAGGGTGTCAAACAAGGCTTGGAAAGTTGTATCAATGGAGCATGTGTGCAAGAAAAAAAAAAGTAAGAGAGACAAAAGGAAATTACAGATAAAGTCCTCACTGGTTCCCACGTTCTCGATGAACAGGTTTATGTGTGCTTTGTCCAAGCTGTGGAGACTTGTACTTGATCCCTCCCACCAGTGCTGAAGTAGCTTTCTCCAGACCAGAACCTTAATTTCTCTGCGCCAAGTGTATGGTATTGAGCGGCTGTCCCGCAGAAGACGTGATGAGTTAACCCTGTAGTACGAGATTATCTCACTCCCTCACGCAGGTGTGAGCACGTGCTCGCTCCCTCCCCCTTCCAAGTTTACCGTGTTTCAAAGGAAACTGTTGCACACGTTTTCAGTGTTATCTTCCACCGCCTCCCTCTGTGTATGTGTGAGGACATGCAGGTACACGCAGGTACACACGTTCCTTCCCATCTCTTTCCCGATCTATGTGTATGCACAGCCAAGGCTACATATACATAGTTGCTTTTTGCTTTCTTTCGTTCCATCCGGAGCTCTTTGCCTCTCAAGTGTCACTGATACACGCGTTGCTCTGGCTCTGTCTGGCATTCACAGGTGCAGTTTTGCCTCGAGGCAAAACCAGCCACCCCATTGCCCAAGCAGTCGACAGTATCTGTGTTTTGTGATGTGCATTTTTTCAGGGGGCCATGACAAATAGCATGGCAGAGCTGCTGTCCCTTTGGAGAAAGCCACGCCCCGTTACCCAGCTGTCCAGCTGCCGGGGCTTGACGTGAGCTGGCGGAGATGAGCAGCTATGGAGTGTTAACTTCCGCCTTTCTAAGATTGGCTGCCTGATGGGGCATAAAAATCCACCCCCAAAGAACACTATATATATTAAAAAAAAAAAAAAAATTCCTCTATATTTCCAACTCTTTATATTTATGCAACTCGTCTTCCCAGATTGTCCTGAAATAAGATAGGTGATATACGCTGTATCCACAAATCATCTGTAACGATTATGTTTTCAGTGCTGTGTCATTGCAAATAAACCATTGCTAACTGCCAGCAATTACCCTACTTCTTTCTGCAGAGTCCTTTCTTTGGGGAAGTCTGTTTCAGTCGGACGCACTGCTTGAAATGCATATGGTTGGAGTTGTTATTTGTGCAGAAACATGCTTGTTCCTCCGGGTCATGCTCTACAGCCCGCCTCCCTTCCCCAGAGCCCTCCCTCCCAGTCGTTGCTGGTCACTCGTGTCCCTGCTGCCCAGCAATCACTACAGCACAAATAACAGCTCTGTGGACAGAGGCTCCTCAGAGGTGCCAGCCGTGACCGTCTGTGTGTCACCGAAAATCTGACGACTTTCATCATCAGCAATTTTCCTTTCACACCAGCCTCATCTTTTGGTCACCTTTCTTTCTGACATGTTCATGTTCATAGGGACGTACAAACCAATCACATGCAATAGAAAAGTCGTTTCACTGGGCCATTGTTTATGGAAGGGAGTTCTTAAACCAAAAAAAAAAAAAAAAAATCCTTCAGCTGATTTACTCTTTTCTGCCGGCATGATCCTGTACGCACCATCCGCTGGTCCTGAATCGGCATCATCAGACTTTGGAATCTGGTACGTGTTTCTGATCTGTGGTTTCAGATCTCCTAGCCCATTCCTTTCACATTTCTTAATAGGGAAATAGCAGTTATTGAGGCAGGGTTTTCCCAGGGGCTGATTTGCAGGGAAGTTGGTTCATCATGACTGCTATATTCATGCCAGAAAATAACAGGCGGTGCCTGGTGGCATAGCTGATAACCCCACACTTAAATGGCAGCCGTGTAAGATGAGTCATAGAAAGCCACTCCTGACATTGGAATTTGTAGGACAGGGCAAAGCGGAGACTAAAACTTTAATAGCTTTTATTTTGTTTTGTTTTGAGAGACAGAGTGTGAGCAGGGGAGGGGCAGAGAGAGAGAGGGAGACAGAATCTGAAGCAGGCCCCAGGCTCTGAGCTGTCAGCACAGAGCCTGATGTGGGGCTCGAACTCACACACTGTGAGATCATGACCTGAGCCGAAGTCAGACGCTTAACTGACTGAGCCCCCAGGTGACCCTGAAACTTTAGTTCCTATGATGAAATACACCTAATGGTCTTGAAAGGTAATTGCTGCCTCTTCTGGAGCAGAGCTCCTCTGATATGCCTCTCCCGCTCCCCACCCCCCCTCTTCGTGGCTCCGCAGGTGCACAGCCTGGCGGGACACACAGCTCCTTGGACACACACCTGTGTTTCCACCCACACCTGTAACATTCCTAGATGCATGTGACAAGTCCTTCCCGAAGGACCGGTGCTGAATTAGTCCTTTCACCCTGGTTTAGAGCCTTTAAAAAACAAATACCAACACCAAATAAAAGTAATTGGATTGTTTCAGAACTTTTCAAGGTCCTCCATTTTCCAAAGCACTGAAAAATGAAGAGGAGGGGGGAGGGGGGAGGGGGGTGGTGAAAGATGGGAAAGTGGTCTCCTCCAGAAAGGTCCAGAGACAGGGAGTGAGTTTTCCGTTCCGCTCTGGATTTTCGGCAGACTTGTGGTTACTAGCATGGAGGCTCTCCCCACCTCTCTTCCGCAGTGTGACAACCCTCGTCGTGGGTCGGCCAGTTTGCAGGACAGTGTTTTATTCCAAACGGCCGTGACCCAGCAAGCCCTACCCATGCCCACTCTTGTGCTTTCGCATTTCTCTCTCAAACTCCGTGGCACCTGGGCCTCTGAATAGTTCCAAAGCCCTTCAAAGAATCGCATAAAGCAAGCCTGTGGTCTTTATTAAACAGACACCGAAGTGGCGTTCCCACCAATACCTCAAACAGATGCTCATTTAAACCTGGGTGATGTTTATAATCACCAAGGGAGCCCTGTCCCGATTTGAATGTTTAATAGTACATCAGCCCAGCGGGGCCCTGGGACAGAGCAGCCCCGTGCACCGTGCCGTCACGTTGCTTCCTCCATGGCTGGAAGTTGGAAAACTCCAGGCAAGACCCCACGGCCCATGGCAATGGCCCAGCCGAGAGTCTCTGGGAGACGGCAAAGGCTGTGGGAGGTGAGTGAGTGTAGAGAGGGCTGAGATGTGCTCGATGCCACACGAGTCACGCGGCTGAACCCCTCGAAGCCTTAGCCACAGCCTGCTCCGCCTTGCTGGGACCTCACCGCCCCTTCCAGAGGAGCCCACACCGCCTTCCCGGGTTTACCTGGAACCCAGCTGACCGTCTTAACCAGCACTAGGTGCCAGGCCTTGGAGATGAGCGTCATGCATTCCTTCCCGTGCACAGGGCACAGCCACAGTCTTCCTAGGACTCGGATACATGGAGCTGGACATTGGGTGGCTGCGTAGAGAAGGCGGTGATCGACCCTCTCAGCAAACCTAGAAAATCAACAGCCCTGGGCTTCTACTCATCCTTGACCCTGGCCTGAGTCAGACCTGCTTTCTCAGTAGCCTGCACGTGGGGCCACCTGGGAGGAACCGTTGGCGCACAGCTCAGGGCACACAGCAAGCGTTGCTACGTTGTTCATAGAAGCCGAACAAAGGGTCGCAGGCTTAATAGTCCGGCCAAAAAGTTGGTGATTCCCTGGTTACCGTTTTTAAAGAGTGCTTAATGGAGCACGGGCTGACTTCTTCAGCCTGGATGCTGATACACAACCCTTAAATCTACGTGAATTGAGAGGAAGGCCAGGTACCCTGAGGCTCTTTCAAAGGATGGTTTCTCTCTTTCTCTTGGTTTCCTAGAATCCAGCAAACTCCCTGTCCCCTGGGAGCTCAGGTCCAACACTCAGGGCCTCTACAGCTTGTAGGTCAGGTCAGAGTTGTGTGTTTACCCCTCCGGACACCCACCAGGTGGGGCTGCTCTGAGCTCTGGGGAGCATGTGTTAGTGCACCGGAAAGCCACGGAAAGGCACGGAAAGCCACGGAAAGCCGGGGAAGGGCCCGAGCTCCTTGTCCTTGGGACACGGCCACCTTGCGGATGCCCCTCGACCCTCCCTGCCCCCGGATAAATACCATTAAACTGTGCCCCACGCTCTGCTCTGCTGAAACCCACCAGTGACCCCCCAGTGATTGCTGCGGCTTTTGGCGATGCCACCACACTTCTGTAACTCTAAGCCCAAGAAAGGAGTTTTCTTGCCCGATTGTTCCTTCTCTGTTCACCTTTACTAATTTTTCTTTCTTCTGAGTGGGTGCTGGAGAGGGGCACCAAGTGGGGTGTGGGGTGGGGTGCATTTTTCTCCATGGGTGGGCGAGTGTCCCCGTTGTCCAGAGAGTGTTTGTTTTGGAGCCTGGGATTATTGCTCCGAAGCCCACGGGTGCGTTCATTCAGTAAACGTGTCAGGCGCTGGCCGGGTGTCGGTCACTGCACACTAGAGCCGCCTTTACCGAGATTGGGCATCAATGAACTGCTTTCAACACGCCCCCCCCCATCGCAGCCCTGAGGGGTCCCCCTTTCTTCGGAACCCCCAGCCTGAGAACGTGGGCGCCCCTCCTGGGCTTCATTTTCCAGATGACGGACCCCTGAGTCCTGAGCTTGCACCGTGATCCCTGCTACCGGATCTAGGAGTGTCCCCTCCCTGCCAAGGAAGGCCTGATCCCTGCCGTCCCCCTCGCCTCCCTGCTTCCCCTTGTCGCAGGCCGCCCACAGCCCCGGACTAGCTCCCCCACCCTGATGTCAGATGTACCGCTTGCTCTCCCCTCTCACAGGCGTGCACGCACACACACGTTAATGATGAATATCTGTGTTTCACATCTAATCCCCAGGCCTCTGCTTGGCTTTCAGCGCTCTCCACGTCTTCACCGATTTGTCTCCTGCGTCCCTCGTGGGGAGGCGCAGTACTGAACTGTGTTGCCCTCCCACCGCACCTCTGCAGGCCACTCGCCCTGGCGCACCCCCCTTCCCTCCTCCCCGACTGGTTCCTCCTCTGCCCAAGTCCCTGGGCTCTCTGACTGCGTTCAGTGTAAAGTGATGGCAGTTACCCTTCCATCCTTCTACACACTGATCCATTCGCTACCCACCTCCTCTGCGTTCTGAATCTGCCGCAGGGATGCTGCGTACAAGTGCTCGAAGCGAATAAATGAGAGACAGACAGAGAGAGAGGAGTTCGAGGAAGTGCAGAAAAGTGAATCCCAGAGCACTGAGTAAAATCTGAAACAGAATATCACAAGAAATGATGCAATTCGTTTGTGATCCCGGAGAGGGGAAAGCTTTCGTATACAGAACACCAAAGTACACAAAGGAGATGGCTGAAAGTTTGAGCACAATATAGAGAACTTCTATTTAATGAAAAGTACTTTAGATAAAGTTTAGACACGTGACAGTTTCGCTGAGGGTATTTACAACAGCCAAAACTCACAAAGGATAAATATCTAGAAGGCATAAATTCATTCAAGTCAACAAATGATTATTAAAAATAATTACTATGATCTTTAGTAATTTAATGATCTATCATTTTATCTATCTTTAATTGTATTTGTAATATTAATAAATTACTGTTAAAAATAAATATAATAATAGCTAATAATCTTTATTTGCTAGTCTCCTAAGTGTTCTGCATGTGATTAAATTATTTAATCCTCACACACCGCTGCGGGGGGGCTGGTTGGCGTCTGTGCAGAAGAGGATCAGAGCCACACGGCGCGAAGCCGGGTGCGGGGGGCACAGCCCGGGGACCGCCGGCCTCGTCCCCGCGGTGCCTGAAGGTCAGGGTCAGCCGCGTCTCGGCGGAGAGGCCGCAGTGGGCGCCAGGGGCAGAGGCCCCCGCTGGCTCCCGGGGAGGCCGGGGCTGGGCCGGCCGCCGCCACGTGGCCCGTCTGCGGCCACCAGCTCTCGCGGCCCGGGGGTGTTCGTGCAGAGCGTGTAGGTGTGCGTCCAGCCCCAGCGCCCCGGG